GTTTTTTAGCCAAGAATGAAGTTGCCTTCAGAGAAACTTAGAGATAAGTTTTAAACACACTGGATAAAATCCCACTCAAACAGATATTTGTCAACACTTTATCTGGCTTAGTAAGCACCCTGTTGAATCACCTGTGCAAATTTAGTCACAAAGCCCCCTTTGTTTATGGTGACATAGAATGAAGAAAGAGGTGAGAGGGGAAAAAACCAACAATATATGTCTTAATAAGAAATTAAAAATAAGGTGAGAATCTAGTTAGAAGATATGTAAATAGTCATTGCCTTTTCTTACAAGTTGCTTTGAGTATTATATATAGGTCTCCGTCTTAGTGCATGGACCAACATAAATGAGAACATATTCCCAAATTTAGATTTGGAAAGAAATAAAAAGTCTCTCAGTCTACTCTGCCTTCCCCCATCTGTAGTGGAGATATGGTGTTTTTTGTTTTTTGTTTTTTGTTTTTTTTCTTTGTTTTTATTTTTTGGTAGGCTTTCTCCATTCTTCTGATAGCACACTGCTTTTTCTATCTGGAACCAATTTTTCTATAATCCACGTTGTCCTGGTGGAAGTGTAAATTGTAGTGACTTCTCCTATCATCATAGCTTATGAGCATGTGATTCAGGCCAGCCAATCAGAGTATTGCTTTTCCCTTATTATAGTGATTGGGCTAAGAATGTGTACATGTTAAAGATGGCAAAGCCTTCTCTGATATTTGATAAGTGTAAAACGAAAACAAAAGTTCTTTTTTTGGACCTTAAGCTATAAGACTATAGTTTGGTCATCTTTCCCACCATGGAAAGTCTGCCTGGGAATGGAACCTAGAGTGCAGATGGAAGAAGCACTGAAAGATGGAGACAGAAGAGACAGAAAACAAAAATAAAACTCCAATATCATCATTTTTGTCATTGAATCTTGCTATGCAGAATCAAGATGCACCTCATCCCACAGATGTGTAAGCCAATATAGTCTCCTTTCAGCTTCAGCAGTTTTAACTGGGTTTCTGTGGCTTTTGGCTAAAACAGTGGTAATACAGTATATACCAAAGTCTTCTATAATCATAATCTCTCAGACTGCGTTTTACTGGTGTGAAACAAATACAAACAAATTTGCTTTTGATACTCCTTTTGAATAGAGGATATGATTTAAACAAAACTGTCTGAGAATATGCAACAGAGGCCATCTTTAACCTGTGATTTGGGTCATTCAGAAAAGTTAAATTGCCTTTAAGATAACATTGAAAAACCAAAACTCAGGAGACATACCAGAGAAATAGAATGAAGTATTGACCCTCTCATGACTTAAGGAATGATTCTCTTACCCTCTCAACACATACGACCAGCTTTGATTACATTTCATTAAAGCTTATTTCATTAATTGCATTTCTATATAAGTGATGTCATGTCAAAATTATTTTGCTACAGAAATGAGGTAGAGTAATACTATGCATTATTAATCAGTGTTTTTTCCAAGATACTTTCTATTACCTAATCCCTTCTCCTAATTAGAACAACTGGGAATCTTGTCTTTACAATTACAGGGATGAGATGACCAAGCAGAATGCTTAACGCAGTCTGTAGTTTCTGAGTTGTAAAAGAATAGGTAGAAAAAATAGGGAACTGAAATGAGCTGAGAAGTAGCTGAGATTCCTGAGAAGGGGCCCTTCTGCACTAAAGCAGAAGTGACCATAGGGTACATGTCTGATATAGCCTCTTGCCCCACCCCATCCCCAGGTTCCCACAGCTTTAGAGTAGGCAGGGAGAGCAGCCAGTGGTTTTCCATGCTCCCTGGAGGGGTTCTGGGGCAGCAGAGAGAGCCAGGTCTGGAAAAAGGATGACTTAGCAGCAATCTGCAGGAACTGGTGACCAGGACCAGAGCAGATGGCTGCTATCACAGAAGATGCCTGCATAGACAGGTAACAGCCAGGAATCAGACTTCACTGTTTCCTGTAACACGAGCTAAGGAATTTAGCCACCAGCCCTCTTCTGTCTATAAATCCAGTCTGTGCTGTACTGGGACACTTATTCTATTTTATGGAATGAAGTGTTGCCAGATTCTAGAATTATGAATAAAGCCAACTGAGATTTTTAAACTAAATTTCTTGTCCTTTTCTCCTTTTGACACTATCCTGAGGGGAATGAGGACTTGAAACATGATTATATTGAATTATAGAAAACAAAGGTTATATTTCTTAAACACTAGAGTATATAGGTGGACAGAGATTCATATACCATCAAAACTGAAAATATTTTTTCAGGGTAAAATGATCAAAAAATCTTTTCAAATAATTTCTTTTTTTAACATTTGTATTTGAACTTATGAATCACTAAACTTAAGGTTGTGTGTTAAATAAACAATTAAGTTTTGTTGCAGGCAGTCTGCGCTTACTCCCCATCAGCTGTGGTGTCCATACCGCCTTCATTTCTTTAGCTTGTGCCTAAGGATATTTCCTCTTCTCCTTACAAAGAATCATCTGCCCCTAACCAGCCATCCCATAAAGGTGAACTGTTAACCAGAACAAGGGCTGGACTAAAGAAGGTGGACAGCTCAGCATTCCTGCTTTAAGACTCTCCACTCCTTAACTCCAAAACCACATCCTCTGACACAGAGTGGACAGAATCCCTCTGTATGCAAAGCAAGGCACTGAGAAGTAGGAGAAAACAATTTCCCATGCTCCGGTTTTAGCATTGTCTGCAACAAAGAAAAGCCATCTTTTTAAAATTCAACTATAATGACACATTTTCCTTTTCTTTATTTTTAGAAGGGAGTAACATTTATTGACTACAAAATACATATCAGCAGCATGCTACCTGCTTTATGTATGTCATCTCACTTAATCTTTACAGTAGCACTATCTGGTAGGTTTTATTATCCCCATTTTCAAACAAAGAAAGTGGATCATAGGTGATAGCCCTGATCAGAGAAAAACTGTGAATTAAATAAATTAGCCTGTCTCCAAAGACCATGCACTTCAACTAAACTACACACCTCTCAAATTTGAAGCTCTTTTTTTTTTTTTTATTTCAGCACATTATGGGGCTACAAATGTTTAGATTACATATATTGCTTTTGTCCTACCAGAGTCAGAGCTTCAAGCGTGTCCATCTCCCAGATGGTGCACATCACACCCATTAGGTGTGAATATACCCAACCCCTCCTCCCCCCTCCCATCTGCCTGACACCAGATGAATGTTACTACTATATGTGCACTTAGGTGTTGATCAGTTAATACCAATTTGATGGTGAGTACATGTGGTGCTTGTTTTTCCATTCTTGGGATACTTCACTTAGGAGAATGGGCTCCAGCTCTATCCAGGATAATACAAGAGGTACCAGATCACCATTGTTTTTTGTGGCTGAGTAGAACTCCATTGTATACATATACCACATTTTATTAATCTACTCATGTATTGATGGGCACTTTGGTTGTTTCCGTATCTATGCAATTGTGAATTATGCTGCTATAAACATTCTAGTGCAGATGTCTTTTATACAAAGTCATGTTCTTTTGGGTAGATGCCTAATAATGGGATTGCTGGATCACATGGTGGTTCTACTCGTAGCTCTTTGAAATATCTCCATATTACTTTTTACACAGGTTGTACTAGTTTGCAGTCCCACCAGCAGTGTGTGAGAGTTCCTATCTTTCTGCATCCACACCAACATTTATTGTTTTGGGACTTTTTGATAAAGGTCATTCTCACTGGAGATAAGTGATATATCATTGTGATTATGATTTGCATTTCTGTGATGATTAGAGATGTTGAGCATTTTTTCATATGTTTGTTGGCCATTAGTCTACCCTCTTTTGAAAAGTTTCTGTTCATGTCTTTTGCCCACTTTTTGATAGGGTTGCTTGACTTTTTTTCTTGGTGATTTTCCTGAGTTCTATATAGATTCTAGTTATCAGTCCTTTATCAGATGTGTAGCATGTGAATATTTTCTCCCATTCTGTAGGCTGTCTGTTTGCTCTCATGATAGTTTCCTTGGCTGTTTAGAAGCCTTTTAATTTGATCAGGTCCCATTTATTTATTTTTATTGTTGTTGTGATTGCCTTTGGGGTCTTATTCATAAATTCATTGCTTAGGCCAATTCTATAAAAGTTTTTTCAACATTTTCTTCTATAATTCTTAGAGTTTCAGATTTAAGTTTATTATCCACCTTGAGTTCATTTTTGTGAAAGGTCAAAGGTGTCGATTCTGTTTCAGTCTTCTACATGTGCCTATTCAATTCTCAAATTTGAAACTCTTTAAAAGGCCCTTGATGGTTTAGTGCTAAGGGGAAATTCATTAAGTGCTGCCTGTGTGATCCGTTTGAGCAATGCTCACCCTTACTATTCCTTTGACCAAGAATCCTCTGCCCCTAAATATTCATATGGCTGGGTTTTCTCATCTTCAGATCTAAGCTAAAACATCACCTCCTAAAGAAGACTATCTCCAATGACTCTTTTCCTAAAGTAGAAAAAGAGACTATCCTCTTCTGGGCCTCTACCACATCAGTGGTGTTCTCTGAGTTTATCACTGAGATAGTCTTTTTTACCTATTAGCTATCTCCACCAACTGAAAACTCTCCATGTGCCCTAAAGGGCAGATTTCCGACTCCCATTATTGTGTCTCTACTCTGGTGTCACAGAAGGCAGATTATCACATTTCTTTACTCAAACTCTTTAGTCTTCCTACCTCACTCAAAGTAGAATACCAAGTCCTTACCCAATTTGGTCACTGAAAGATTCTTTCTCCTTCTACTCCCCCTAACTCACTTTGCTGCAAACACTGTTTCTCAAAGGGTTCCAGGGCCTGTGTCCTGGCAGCTCATCTGCCTGGAAGAGCATCTCCCCAGATATCCTCACCCCTCACTCGCTCACTTTCCTCAAGCCTCTGCTCATTCTGGCTGGTTGTTTAAAATAATGAAGAAGGAACATAATATATCTTCACTTTTATATTTAATCAAAATAACTTTGCAGACATCCTCACAAGACTAATTAATTATTTGGTTTTACTAACCTTCAAGGAAATAAGCTTCCAGAGGAAGAAGTAAAAATGTGCTCATCTTGGTAGTTCTAGAAGAAAAAAAAGAAGTAGATTTAACCTACCCTCTACTGGTCAAAGATTTAAATGGTCTCATTTTCTTTTTCTTTTTCTTTAATCATTTTACTTTTCTTTCATTTCTATAAGCTCACCTTTATTTATTTCTTTTATTGGTTCATTATTAATTCATTTACTTTTTATTGAATGTAGATTTTTGAACATCTACTAACTATTCAGTGGTGGAGATACAAAAGTGAGCAAAACATAGTTCTGGTGCTCAAAGACCTCACAAAGTCTAGTAAGAACCATTCCTACAAATCATTTGGAGGGTCACTGTGACATATGTGTCAACCTGAATAGCAAACAAGGTGAAGCTCTCTAAAAGTAAATGATGTTTATATGGGAATAGAGCATTGCAGCAGGACTATGTGTGCAGTAGTAAGCTATGCACATATTCGGGGGATAAAGGAAAACAACTGTTTTTAAAGGAAAAAATGAAGAAGATTAGATAATTATTTTGAAATAATTATTCTTGGCTACTAAGATCAAGAACAAGGGTGACACCAGTCCAAGTTTGGACAGGCACTTGTGCCTTTGTTGTGTAAGGTTGTACTGTATTTTTTGTGTAACGTTGCAATGACCATTGCGTGAGTTGTAGTTTTTGTAGCCTTTTGCGATAGGCTTATCGGGCATAAAGCATGATAACCCTCTCTTCATATCCTTCTCTGCTCTATTTGTCAGAGTTGTTTTTTTTTTTTTTTTTAACATTAGTGACTGGATTTTGACTCTGACAACTTTCACATTTCCCCATTTTGATCAAGATCTTGTTTTGAAAGCATCACTAATCAATCGCCCTATAGCTTTGATGTCTCTTGGTGCCATAATGGACCTATAACAATTGTTGGTACTGTCCCATATTCGGGGGATGGATTGGCAACTAGAAGTCAGTGTCAAAATCCTTTTAGCCACATTTGAGCAACAAGGGAGGTTGAAAAGAGTGGATCTCAGGCTAATTCTACCTGGAGTCCAATAATTAACAATAATTAACAATTTTGTCTATTGTGTAGTTTGTTGTTATCATCTCAACGTTCTGGGCCAGTATTATTTGTTAGGAGTTGTACTCCTGTAAATATTTAACAACTAATAGCACAAAACTTAAAAAGAAAAAATACAAAATAAAACTAATAGTAATATGGTAATCTAAGTTTACATAATGGTTTTGAGCAACAAAACTAGGCTTAAAGATAACCAATTTAATAATTTAATAACCATAGGGAATTAGGTGAAACCTGTTTTAACCACATGTTTTGTGTGTGTGTGTGTGCGTGCGTGTGTGTGTGTGTGTGTGTGTGTGTGTCTCAACTTTTCCAGAAGAATTTATCCAGGTATAGTATGTAGTATTAGCAATAGCACAGACATTTTCTTATTTAATAGTTGGATACTAAAGGATTTTTCACGTTAGGTTCTGTTGAGTTACCTGAAGAAGCTACTGATTGTAAAATGTTAATTACATCATTATCCTGTTAATTGAAAAAGGTAGCATTAAGGGCATAAGAGTCTCTTTATAATAGAGTCTTGTTTCAGTGTCTTGGGAAAAGCTTTCTACAGCATAAAAATAACAACTTCTCCTGGTTTGCAGTTTGTGTATCACCAGTCATGCCATCAGGCAATTTAGTGAATTTTTGGTGTGGCCCATACACCAGGCACAAGGTTATGCCTTGCAATTTATCTAGTTTCAGCTTACTGAGGTTTAGAAACAGAGCGGTCTTTGTTCTTATTTGGAGAATTGTAGCCAAATACTGGAGATAATTAGAAAAATTCAGGATCTAGTCCAAACTACAGGTATGTAACAAGAACTTGAAAACAATGCATAAGGTTACAATCAAATAACAAGTCTATTTTAGTTTTTCTATTAGAAACATTTTCTTTCTACATTGATCACACAGAAACCTCAGATTTTAAAACTTCTCGAGGCTAGGAAGCCAAACCCAGAAGACTAGATTTTTATCTATAGTCTTAAGGTTTCTGGGCTTGCTAGGAAGTGACAATTTTTATTAATTCACTGTGAGGCTGGGAAACTTTGAATCCAGGCATTTTATGGACATTCTCAAATATGATATTTCAGTCAAAGTCTGGTAATGCAATCAATGTTTTCGATTATACCCTGCTATAAAGAGAAAACAGCTTTTTTTTGAACTTAGGCAAATAACCATATTTTCATTAAAAATAAGAATACTCATGAATAGTTTTTGATTTTTGAAGGAATCAAGCAGAGAGAAAAAGCAAATGCTTTCACTTCTGTTTACAAAAGTATTCTTTACCAAGTTTCTTTAAATTTGGAAAACATTTAAGTAAATAACCACCAATGTTTTAAATAAAAGTCATAGAAACATTAGCTTTATCAGTTTCTTAATTAATGTAATTATTTTTTTTTTTTTGCTTGATCTTGATTAGCAGTTTCATGAACCCATCAGTTTTTTTTATTAGAGTTCTGGAAATTTTTATTCAGCCCATTGACCTTAAAGTTATGAGAAATCTGTGCTCAAGAGTATTTGTTTGAATCTTTTTCATGAAAAGCAATTTTGAATGATAGCTGATTACAAATGCTCTTAGAGAAGAATTAAAAACAATAATTGTGGATAAAACAAACTTAGAATAGCCATGGTTAAAAAAATCTGATGAAAATTCACAGTTAACAAGGAAATTCAGTTATTTTTACTACATGTAGCATTTTAAGATACCAACCAGAATCACAACTGACAGCATCAAATTAGGACCAATAGACTTTTACAATTTTATATAATCTCTAGAATATTTACATTAATATTGTATCCATACAAATATAATTTTAGAAAAAATTAACATAACAAAAGACAAATAACATATTTCTACAAATGTATATAATTTTGAAACATTTACATCAATCACATACCCATCAATGTAGCTGAAAGACCTAGTATCACATCATTTGACAATGTTCCCCATACAATTTACCCAATAAGCCTAATTATTTAATATCTTTACAAGATGAGAGATATATTCTTGAATCTCTCCAGGGGCCCAATTGGAAAATTATAAAGTTGATAATTCCAGGGCAAAAGCCTTAATTTAGGATTTTAATCCTGAAGAAACCTGCAAAAGATGTCAAAAAGTTCAAAACACTTGATCAATACAGAATAACAGGCTGCTATAAAATAATAGTCATTTATCTAAACAGAATAATAATCAAAAAAACTTCAAGAGCAAAATAGAAACTTGGATGTAAAAACCTAAACCTTTTTAAAGCTCAGTTTTTCTAAGTAATTCAAAACCTAATAAAGACAAAATAAGAAATGATCTTGGTAAAATGTCAAATCTTTGATTTTTAGGCCAGTTACTAAAAGGGATTTAAAAAAAACACATTCTGCAGTGTGTGATTGTTTCTTCTTATGGGAAGCCAGTTTCAATAACCTGGAAGACAAACCTGATGAAAAGGGTACTTAAAACTACTCAGAATGTGTCCAGAATTATGAGTGTACACTATATTATAAAGGCATGTAAACAAGAAAACTAGTACCTTGAGCAAAAGAATACATGACTTTTAGTAACACCATGAGAAGTTTTCCAGTGACATGGAATAATTTAGACACATCAAGAAAATCCAAGAGTACAGAATCAAATTATACTGGAGGAAAACATTGTTTTTCTAGGCCTTTAAAATAAACATTTCAGTGTCAGGCCATCACAGCAGAGTTAGAACTGCAGAAAAAAACAATACATTTAGAAGTGACAAAAAGATTGAAGGAAAGAGTTGTCACCCCAGCCAAGCAAAAAGATACACCTTTTTAAGGGAAGAAAGGAGAGGTGAAGGCATTGATGTATGACCTGCAAATCATATGCAAGGAAATACAGTAAAAGTTTAACTTCTGAGATGTAATCTGAGATGCTTCAAAAAGAAAAATTTTACCTGGAGATATGAAATGACCATTCTGAATGCAAAAAGACGGCATTTCCAACCAGAAAGTACAGAAATTAAATAGATCTCATAAAGAAACATGGTAGAAATCCAAACTGTCTGTAGTTTAGAAGATGGCTATTAAAGAAAAATATTTTAGAATTAAAAATCAAAATCTCTTGTAATTGTACTAAAAGCAACTCAATGCTTTAAGAAAACCATGTTGTTCTAACATACATAACCAATTTTTTTTAGTTTTGTTGAATTATTGTATTTTTAATATCAAAGCTCATTTTTTCAAAAGATCTGGAAGGTAGCTGAGTAGAGATATCCATTGCTAGATCATTCCAGAGGGTAGGAAGGGTTTCAGATAAAGGAGAGAAGGGAAAGGGCAGCTCAGTTGCAGTTTGGGGGGAAAAATGTCAGAGCCTGCCAGAGATTTCACGGGAAAAAGTAGTGGAGCAGAACAGAAAGAAAAAAAGATACTAGCACAGATCAAACAAGAAGAGGCTCAGAGCCTGGTGGAGAGGGTAAGTTGGTGTTTTATTTTTCTGGACATGCCCACCAGGACAGACATTCAGGCCAGATCCTGTACTCCCAGGACTTGATTGGGTTGCTTGGGAGTACAGAGGAGAGATTTGAGAACTAAACCCAGGAGGCAAGAGAGCCTATACAGGCATAACTTACAGGAGAGTGCAGTGTGGGTCCAAGTCACAGCGAGCTGAGCACCCACCCTCTCAGGAAAGCTGCACTTTTCAGACAGGGGTGGGACCTCAGGCAGGGAAGTTCCCAGCCTGTGGCACCATTGCTGGCAAGCTCAGCAAATTCAGGCACCTGTTTGCAACTAGACACTTAGAAGGAGACTCACTGGAAAGGGGAGGAGAGAGAAGAGGGAAACTCATTCCTAACAGCCAGTCTGTGAATCCCAGATGGCCCCTTCCCCATGAGCAGACTTTCAGGTTTGATGAGGCTGCCTCAGCCACTTCCCAGTGGCTATCCCCAGCAGCTTTCCCCAGTAGCCGGGAGCCAACCTTTGATCCCTGCTGAGAAAGTTCTAGAGACTACCTCTGAGTATGAAGGCAGGATAGCCCAACCTAGCCTTGTCCAGCCTTGCTCCTCCACTCACTTGTGCTGTGCTGGAAAATAAAGAGTCCCCTGGGAGTTCCAGAGCCCCTCTCACTGCCTGGAGTATTTGAATGCTTCTCTTAAGAGGCTAGCGCTGGTCACAGGCCCAAAATAACAACACTGCAGCTGGCTCTTTCCTGCAAAAACCAATTACTTACTAACAGGAAGAACAACTTGTACAGCCTATTATAGCATCTACTGACTCAATCATATAGGGAATGGTTGCCTCTTACAAGCACCACCCACCATCTCAGAGGTTAAGCTGGGTGCCCCAATATAATGGGGTAAGGTAAGAGAGCAGAATAGAATCAGCCCATATGGGGGACACTTGTAAAGGGAGAGGTAAAAGTTGCAGGTGGCTCAAGCTGTGAGGAGACTACCTCCACCACTGCAGACCTCCGGGCTGGATTGGGGAGCTGCTCAGAGTCTGCGCAGACACATTGCACTGGAGAGCAGGTACAGCAGATCCAAGATTTCTGCAGCTGATGCCATCCTCAATGCTCAGGTGCATGGCACCAAGTCTGCTCAAGACTCAGCTTTCCAGGAGTAGCCTTCACATCACCCCCACCAGGGCTGGAAAGGGAGCACAGAGAATAGAAACTCCCCCGTGCCATGCCCTGTGACTAGGAGCTGAGCATGCCTCCGCCCCACTCGCTGCATGGGATATGAGCAGAGGAGAAGCCTCAGACACCACAGGCACCACCTGGGAAGCTTTGGGCAACTGCCTTAGCACGACCTAAGCAGGGTGTAGAAAATGTCAGTTGACCAGCAGCACAGCCTCTCTCCGCAGTCCCTGAGCTACTGGGACAAACCCATGCCTGCAAAAGTAGGCAAGAGCAGTCTCCACGCTGGCAGAACAGCCCTCTATCTGTGTGGTTCTACCCCAGTATTCCTAAGATCAAGCTCTGAGGCTCTCATTGTGCCTGAGCACAGGCTCTGTCCCTGTAGCTCCAGGTCCCCCAATGGGCTTGCAACACCACCCTTGAGTTTCCAGAATTGTGCCTAGGCCCTAAGACCCCACTCCTGAGCCTCCACTACTGCTGCTGGGCCAGCAGCACCACCCCAAGGTCCAATGCTTCACCAGGGACACCAAGCCTTGAGCAGCCATTACTCCTGAACCTGGTTCATGCAAATGCCTACATCCCAGTCATCCATGACCACTGCCTAGATAGAATCACCCAGCTGCCATTGTCACCGCCACTGGATGACCCTTGGCAGTGCAATCCCACACAACAGCCTCCATGAAGAGAGTCACATCCAGCCCCTAACTTGAATTTCCAACAACAAGCTGAGGAACAACCCACCAACCCACACAATGATCATCCAGCACTGGCTCAAACTGAGGCAATCACAGAAGAATGGGTCAAAAGAGAACAGCAACCATATGAAAAAATTCTCAACATCTCTAATCATTAGGACAATGCAAATTAAAACCACAATGATATGTCACCTTACTCCTGTTAGAATGGCTTTTTTTAAAATGCCCAAGACCAAGACATGCTGGCATGGATGCAGAGAGAAAAGAACGCTTCTACACTGTTGGTGGGACTGCAAATTAGTGCAACCTCTGTGGAAAACAGTATGGAGATTTCTCAAAAAACTAGAAGTAGATCTACCTGGGTATCTACCCAAAGTAATATTTATTGCAGCACAATTTACAATTGCAAAGCTTTAGAATCAACCCAAGTGCCCACAGTCCAATCCTTGAGTGAAGTAACAAACTGTGGCATATGTATACCATGGAGTATTATATAGCCATAAAAAGTATGAATTAATGCATTTTGCAGCAATTTGGATGGAATTGGAGACCATTATCCTAAGTGAAGTATCTCAAGAATGGAAAAACAAACACCACATTGCTCTCTGATAAATTGGAATTAATGGATGGGCACACAAGTGCATGGAGGGAAGTAAATTTCTTGGAAACCAAGCCTGGGGAAGGGAGAAAAGGGGAGGGGAAAAACCTACCTAACAGGTACAATGAACATTATTTGGGTGGTGGGCTCAATTATAGCCTTGACTCAAGCATTTCAAAAGCTATCCATGTAACAAAACATTTGTATCCCCTTAATATTTTGAAATAAAATAAAAATAATAAAAGCTCATTTTTAAAGAAATACTTATAAATAATTTCTTTTTAAGTATAGCCAACTTGATCACATGCAATGTTCCTTTCATAAATTTCCCCTTTACAAACCTTACCATGACTTAGTTGGATCCACATTTTGAAACAATCTTTAAATTACCTCTGAATTACACAAAATTATTTTCCCCCAGAACAAATTTTTATGCCTTTCTTACAATTTTTGTTATTAAAAACACATCTTATTTTGGAGGGACATACATTTATATACAGAATTATTATGTATATTAATTTGAATTTTTAACTCTTGGTAACCTTAAATTTTAGTGAAAATCTGGGAAGCAAGAAAACTTGAATTATCTGCCACATATTAATATTTTATAGAAAAGAATCATTTTATATTTTTTAAAAAATGCTTCCCCATAACATAATTTTTATAATATTAATAGACTGAAATCTATTTAAAGTATTTATAAAATTTAAGAAATCAACAAACATATTTATGTTCAGCAAATTTTTTTAGTTTTTCTTTATGTTATTTGAAAATGACTCAGATATTAAATCAGTATCCATTATATAACTTAACAGAACTTTAAGACTGTAAATTACAAGAAAAGTTCATTTAGAGATATTTATTTCATTTACATTTATTAAATAATTTATTTAATTTTTAATTACTTATGAAAACTAAGATATTAGACAAAGCTAGTCATCATTTCAAGTTATATCCTTATTAACTGTTTTTATAGCCTGTGAATGTCAGGTAAGTAAGTAAAAAACTTCAATAAGTGTATTTTGCTGATAAGTCAAAAGATACAGCTTTTTAAATAAAATTAAACCAACCATATTAAATTAGTCTAACTTATCAAAAAATTACACAAGGCAAGAGCATTATACTTTAGCCTGAGTGTATAGTATTATAACCTTTGTGTCAAACCCTGACACCTTAAAATATCTAGGAGAGACAAATATAAAACTGATCAGTTAATCCATGCAAAAATGTATGCTGACAATTCTGAAGACATTTCTATTTTTATTTATCAATAGATTTAAAACCAGCTTATTTATTAAAGATTTACTTCCATCAAGTTAACTAAAAGGCATTTGAGTTAATTACTATATTTTTTATATTTTATATGAGCACCCATTTATCTAAGCCAATCTGAGTCCTAAGGGATTTGGGCTGACTATGCCAAATTTTACCATGTAGACACAATATACAACTTAATACATATATATGTGTGTAAACACACCCAAACACATATATACACACACAAATAAAGATCTTACAGCTTTCATTTTAGAATTTTAGTCAGTAGACAGTAATACAAACTTAACAGCTTAAAAAGACAGTGGGATACAAATTTTATTTCTGATAAAAGTTGGGACCTGATCATATGGCTAAAATGTATTTTCCCTGATAGGTAATCTAATGAAAGCTGTGAATCAAAATTTTGTGTAAAACAGTTTTTTATGGCAGTTTGATTGTAAAGAAAAGTTCTTTCACCCTTTTTTTTCCTTTTTATCAGTATGAGATGGTTGTAGGGTTAAATTTTCAATTCTTAATAATTTAGCTAGGACTGGCTGAATTGTATAAGAAAAATGAAATCTCCACATAGTCTTGAACTAGTAATAAATCTATCTTTTTGTTTGTCAGTCTAGTTTGCTTGATTAGCAAATGCAGGCAGGGAAGAATTTTATCAGGTTTGTGTTTCGGCTTTTTGTTTTTGTTTTCATTTTGTTTTGTTTGCCCTTTTTTTTTGTTTGTTTGTTTGCTTCTGCATGGTAGACAAAGCAAAAATTTTATGCCAGAGATATGATATATTATTGCTCTGAGCTCCAGATTTTGACCTATTTGATCTGTAAACCTAACTTTGTATTTTATATAGTTTTTTTTCTTTTAGATTATTAATTTTTCAATTAATTGCTCCATGATTATAAGCAATTGTTATTCAGGCAAACCCAAATTTACATTTCATGAAGGTGTCTAGATGGTTTGCTACCATGGAGTTGTAATTTGTAAAGCCATTAATTTGAAAGTCTTTTAAAACTTCTGTTTTCTTAATATTGGCTAGAATTCTAAAATCAGTGAGCTTTATTCCAACACAAATAGAAAAGTCAGCAGATTTAGAGAAAAATATAGAGAGATCAAGAAGTTAAAAGACTTTACGTGTTAACTCTATAGTTGCAGGGTTTCTGAAGTAAGTTTGAATAATGATCAAGCTCTCAATTTTTCTCCATAAGTTTTATAGATCGCTTTAATAATGTGAGCAACAATAGGGCATAATATGTCCTAGAAAACCTGGCATGCCTTAATATTTGAGAATTTCATTTTATTTCTTATTAATCTCTAAAGAGCAAAGAAAACTCTACAAATTCTGTTAGCAAAGGTCAGAAGTTTAGACTGTGTTTTAGATGTTGGCAACTGCGCTAGTGGCTTTTAATTAACCATCCTGTGCCTGCCCCCACCCCAGCTATAGGAAGTTTATTTTTGTTTACTTGGAAGATTTTTATAAACAAGTATGGGATAAAAGTTAAACCAAATCATAAAAGATAAGAGTGTTCACAAACATTT